TGTCCAGAGGACCAGATTTAACTTTTTTAGATTTTTCTACCTGGATTATTGAGCATGCATCAGGAAATTCTGAGGCAGTTCAGTTCTGACACTGAAGAAGACTTTAGTGGTTTTAGTGCACAGGAGGAAGATGACTTCTGTTGTAATTTGGTGCTATATAAACAAACTGAATTGAATTAAAGATAGTTTGTTCTGTATGTTACCGGTACGTATCTAATTAAAAGTTTTTAAAAAACCTTTCTGTGTAAATATCTCGTTACAATGTGGACACCTGATGCAAGTGTGGCTATATATATATGTACATTTTTTTATTTTTTATTTTTAAAGTTAGTGGGTGCGACTTATGTTCAGGTGCGCTCAATAGTCTGGAAATTACGGTAGCTAACATGTGTTTTTCACTCGTTACATTAATGGTCACTATAAAAAAGATGCCTTTTAGATGCTGCAGTTTTATAGATGGCATCAGATGCATGTAACACCGTGCTGAAGCAGCTTGTCATCAGTCAACATCGTGAAGACATCACTGCTCAGATGGAAGTGGATTTTTTAAATAACTGATAAGAAGATTGTTAAGATTTGTTCAATTGTTCACGTCAATTAAACATTAAATTTTCTCTTAAAAACTGGAACGCTAGTTTGCGCTAGTTTTATCGAAGATTGGCAATAACCTTATCAATTAGTCCATAAGAAATGGGATTTGACACTTCAGATGAAAAAAGTAACATCATAAAACATTAAATTTAGAAAGGAAATAATAGGGAAAAAAAATGAGTTTAGGAAAATAAACAGATGGGAGGGGATCGTGCAGATTTCTTATGGCTCTAAGTAACATAACTTGAGGATGGTGCCAACAGTATCGTGTGTGAAGCTGTAGGGGTTCTGAGGATGATTGCATGTGATGCATATGCGTTCAGTCTGCATTTGACATCTGTGCATGTTTGTCAACAACTTTCTGCATATTTCCTGCATTACTAAATCATATGGTTTACTAACACCTTCTCATTCCATTCTGTCCACAATATAAATTCATTCTTGATATGTGTAATAATAAATCCATGGATGTCCCAATCAATATTTTAAATGGAACCCTCCTTCTGTCCTGTTTTAAAACTGAGCGCTCTGTGTCATTTTAACAACAGGGCAACAGGAGGGTTAAGTGTTGGCAGATGCAGTTTCAATCAAATACTTACACTATTTAGCTATTTTATGCTACAGACTTGCAATTTACATAATATACAGCACCTTCGAAAAGTAGCAGTAGTTTTTGTTTGTTTTAGGATGAATGACTGAACAGAGCTCCTATTCTAAGTTTGGGACTTTGTTACCACTGAAAACCGTTTATCTATTTCCTTCAAACAGCTTGAAAAAGTGACACAAACTTGTTTTTTTTTGCATAATACCAACGGGTTAGTCGTCCAGAGCGATAAATTTGCTCCCTGATTCTGTAATCCTTTTTTCCTGTCTACAGTCCTGTGGCAACTTGTCCTGGTTTTAGTTTCCTCAGAAGTGTTGCTGTGTTATTTAACTGTGTTAATCACCAGGGATCACAAGAATCTGTTGAGTCGGTCCAAAGCCCGATGAAAATGGTGAGGGTTATGTCAGGAACAACATAAAACACTTCTGCACCCCCAAAACACGCGAGTTCATCTAAATTACACCATACCGGATTGGCAGCAAGGACTGCCATCAATGCTGTTGACAAATGGCGCCAGAGGAAATTGTTCTACTATTAGTCAAAGACCACGAAGGGGGAAACGTTAGGAGAGTTTTACCCTCTTCTTCCTTTTCGGGTGGCGGGGGTCACTGGTGCGCAGATCCAGAAATCACTGAACGAGAGGTGGGAAACACCCTGGACAGGTCTCCAGTCCATCACAGGGACACATAGAGACAAACGAGACAAACAACCATTCACTCTAACTCAAAACCGCAATCATGGGTAAGACTGCCGACCTGACTGCTGTCCAGAAGGCCATCATTGACACCCTCAAGCAAGAGGGTAAGACACAGAAAGAAATTGCTGAACGAATAGGCTGTTCCCAGAGTGCTGTATCAAGGCACCTCAGTGGGAAGTCTGTGGGAAGGGAAAAGTGTGGCAGAAAACGCTGCAAAACAAGAAGAGGTGACCGGACCCTGAGGAGGATTGTGGAGAAGGGCCGATTCCAGACCTTGGGGGACCTGCGGAAGCAGTGAACTGAGTCTGGAGTAGAAACATCCAGAGCCACCGTGCACAGGCGTGTGCAGGAAATGGGCTACAGGTGCTGCATTCCCCAGGTCAAGCCACTTTTGAACCAGAAACAGCGGCAGAAGCGCCTGACCTGGGCTACAGAGAAGCAGCACTGGACTGTTGGTCAGTGGTCCAAAGTACTTTTTTTCGGATGAAAGCAAATTTTGCATGTCATTCAGAAATCAAGGTGCCAGAGTCTGGAAGAAGACTGGGGAGAAGGAAATGCCAAAATGCCAGAAGTCCAGTGTGAAGCACCCACAGTCAGTGATGGTCTGGGGTGCCATGTCATCTGCTGGTGTTGGTCCACTGTGTTTTATCAAGCGCAGGGTCAATGCAGCTAGCTATCAGGAGATTTTGGAGCACTTCATGCTTCAATCTACTGAAAAGCTTTATGGAGATGAAGATTTCATTTTTCAGCACGACCTGGCACCTGCTCACAGTGCCAAAACCACTGGTAAATGGTTTACTGACCATGGTATTACTGTGCTCAATTGGCCTGCCAACTCTCCTGACCTGAACCCCATAGAGAACCTGTGGGATATTGTGAAGAGAAAGTTGAGAGACGCAAGACCCAACACTCTGGATGAGCTTAAGGCCGCTATCGAAGCATCCTGGGCCTCCATAACACCTCAGCAGTGCCACAGGCTGATTGCCTCCATGCCACGCCGCATTGAAGCAGTCATTCATGCAAAAGGATTCCCGACCAAGTATTGAGTGCATAACTGAACATGATTATTTGAAGGTTGGCGTTTTTTGTATTAAAAACACTTGTCTTTCATTGGTGGGATGAAATATGCTATTTTTTTTGGACAGTCATTTTGGGTTTTCATGAGCTGTATGCCATAATCATCAGTATTAAAA